TGTGTGTGTGTGTGTGTGTACAGTGAGTTTTTTAAACACAGATAAGGACAGTGCCGCGTTCCGCCGATGAGTCATACACACATGTTACTCACGTGCCCCCCCCAACCTTCCCCTATTCCTCCTCCCACGTGTGCTTTCCCCCCACTTCGCCATCTTTTATTGCCCCATGCAGATATCTAGACATTTCTTTCCTCACCCCATTTCTGTCCATCTTTAATTTTACCGCTTCTTTACTATTTACGCTCCCGCGTTTTTCCCTCCCCGACTCTTCCCCCATTCCGACATTTTTTCCATTTCTATCTCCTTCACTCTTTCCCATCTGCGTTTATTTTCATCCCCCTTTTATCTCTCTTGTATTTATACCCTTCTCCATTTCTTTCCTCGCTCGTATTTTCCCGCTCCCATTCTTCACACTCCTTCCTTTCTCCCTATTACCAACCTTCCTATTCCACTTTCCTCTCTTGGCGTAGTGGTGTGGTTACTTTTGTATTAAAGTGCTAAGTAGGGTCAGGCGTGGATGTGCGCGTGTGTTTCGCCAGCAGCGCTGGGAGCGTGGCAGTCGTTATCGGTGCGGGTTACAGAGAGAGGGTTGTGGACTCGGTTATTGATGGGTTACGTCGATTAGGAGCTACGGTTATTGATCAGGTTAATAGTGAGCAGGGTGAGGGGGCTGAATTGTTGCCATTTTTTATCTGTCTGTCGCTGTCAGCGTCCGCTAAGTCTACGCAGCCTGTGACGTAACCCGTTATCTGCTCACTGCCGCTTCTGCGCGTAAGCCGTACGCTAAGGACTCGATGCTGGCTGTTTAAACGTCTGTAAAGGAGGGGATATAAACGAGGCACAACTCTGGGGGAGACGACGTCTCATCGACGGAGACACTAATGCGACTATAATGAAAAGATCGGCAGCAACGACCGGCTGGAGATCTTTGCTCTCCGTTTGTTTTTTACGAGTTGCAATAAACGACGAGATGGGGGGGCCACTCTGCGCATGCGCGTTAGTAAAGACAGCTCTGGATGATATGACTGTGCGTGCGGGTGGTATGTGTGCGTGCGTGCGTGCGTATGTGCGTGTGCGTGAGTG